AAGCACTTTTTTCAGGCCTGTTGCACACTAAGTCCTGTCATTACTCCTTGAGTCCCCACACTGGCCAGGGGAGGGAGGCACAAGGAGCCTCCTCTTATAGTTGAGGAAGCAAAAGTTCAGAGAGAGAAAATGCTTCCGCCTGTGGAGAGAACACCAAAAAGAAGGGCCAACAATGGGACCCAGCCCTGTCACTCAAGCCCAAGCCCTTTCACTCCCCACGGTGACCAAAGACTAAAAACCATGGCGTGTGAGGAGTCGGTGAAGGAACGAGGTGCTGAGTCCGCAAACGAGATTCAAGGGAGACCCTTGTCTTCAAATATTTCAAAGAATATCTTCGGGGAGGAGGGGTTTTTATTCCAGGAGAACCCCAGTGGTAAGCGGGGGACTCGGGCACAGGCCACAAACATTCTGACCTGTAGGAGCCAGGCAGGAAACCCCAGTGGGTGAAGCGCCTATTAAGGGAGTAGTGGGGACAGGGCCACGTCCAGGAGGGGCAGCCTCCAATCAGCGCACATTCGGTAACGGGGCCTGAAGTTTCTTTTCTTTTCTTTTCTTTCTGAGATGGCATCTTGCTTTGCAGCCCAGACTGGAGTGTAGTGGTACAATCATAGCTCTCTACAGCCTTGACCTCCTGGCATCAAGCAATCCTCCTGCCTCAAGCCCCAAAGTAGCTGGGACTACAGGTGTGTGCCGCCACTCCCAGCTAATTTTTCAATTTTTTGAAGAGATGGGATCTCACTGTTGGCCAGGCTGGTCTTGAACTCCTGGGTTCAAGCAGTCCTCCTGCCTTGGCCTCCCAAAGTGCTGGGATTCTAGGCATGAGCCACCACTTGGCCAGCCTGGGGTTTCTAGAACAGTGCTGTCCACTTGAAATCTGATGTGACACCCAAGGAGAGTTTAAAATAGTCTAGTGGCCACATTGAGAAAAGTAAAACAAGGCTGGATGTGGTGGCTCATGCGTGTAATCCCAGCACTTTGAAAGGCCAAGGTGGGCGGATGACTTGAGGAGGCCAGAAGTGCAAGACCAGCCTGACCAACATGGTGAAACCCCGTCTCTACTAAAAATACAAAAATTAGTCGGGTATGCCTGTAATCCCAGCCACTTGGGAGTCTGAGGCACGAGAATCACTTGAAACCAGGAGGTGGAGGTTGCTGTGAGCCAAGATTACGCCACTGCACTCCAGAACGAGACTCTGTCTCAAAAAAGAAAAAAGTAAAATGAAACAAGTGAAATTAATTTTAATATTTTATTTATGTCAATATATCCAAAATATCATTTCAACATGTAATCAACATAAAAATAATTAGTGAGGCATTTTCCACTCTTTGGTACTAAGTTTTTGAAACCCATTGTGTATTTACACCAATAGCATGCCTCAGTGTGGACTCGCCAGGTTTCAGGGGCTCAATGGTCACACATAACCACTGGCCACCCTACCAAACAGTGCAGCTATAGAAACTCCAGTTTTTCTACGACAATTTGGACATCCATTCTGTGAGGGGGTTTTAAAATGTGAAATCTGCTGGGCGCGGTGGCTCACGCCTGTAATCCCAGCATTTCAGGAGGCCGAGGCGGGTGGATCATGAGGTCAGGAGTTTGAGACCATCCTGGCTAACGTGGTGAAACCCCGTCTCTACTAAAAATATAAAAATTCGCCAGGCATGGTGGCGGGCGCCTGTAATCCCAGCTACTCAGGAGGGTGAGGCAGGAGAATCGCTTGAACCCAGGAGGGGAGGTTGCAGTGAGCTGAGATCGCGCCACTGCACTCCAGCCTGGACGACAGACTGAGACTCCGTCTCCAAATAAAATAAAATAAAATGTGAAATCAGGCCAGGTGCAGTGACTCACACCTATAATCCCAGCACTTTGGGAGGCCGAGGTGGGTGGATCACAAGGTCAGGAGTTCAAGACCAGCCTGACCAACATGGTGAAACCCCCGCCTCTACTAAAAATACAAAAATTAACCAAAAAACACAAAAATTAACAAATACAAAATTTACAATTTGTATTTGTAAAAATACGAAAATTAACTACAACCAGCAGGTACCTGTAGTCCCAGCTATTCAGGAGGCTGAGGCAGGAGCATTGCTTGAACCCAGGAGGCGGAGGTTGCAGGGACCCGAGATGGCGCCACTGCACTTCAGCCTGGGTGACAGAGCAAGACTCTATCTCAAAAAAAGAAATTGAAATCGGTGGGCAACAAATACAAAATAAACGTTGGGTAGGCCAAATGAAACACACCGCCTGGGGCCACTGTGGCCTGCAGAGGACTAGTTCACAAAGCGGACGAAAGGATACGAGATGTGGGGAATCAAGTTTGGGTTCCATTCATCCTTTTCTGGAGGTTTCCTGTGTGGCTGGCCCTGTACCTGGAGGTGTAGAAATAACTACGTGAGGCCGGGCGCGGTGGCTCACGCCTGTAATCCCAGCACTTTGGGAGGCCAAGACGGGCGGATCACGAGGTCAGGAGATCAAGACCATCCTGGCTAACATGGTGAAACCCCGTCTCTACTAAAAA